AGTGTGTATATACGTCGATTATAATCTTAGAACGTCGTTCTTCATCAATAAATCGACACCATCGTTATGACGAATATAGTTCATCAACAGATCCTAATCCAAAGAAATATTCATCGACAGCAAGACGTGTTCATTTGACAAATGAAAACAAAGCAATGAATGCAAAACGATCTATTGATTAGAAGTATTTCAAGTATCATTAAATATGTATAAATGTATATCAAAAAAGTTTTCGACTTTATTTCTTTTCTTTTCTTTTAAAACAGATATATATATATATATACTATCTGTTCTTCCTTTTCTCTTAACTTTCGTTGCCGAATACTTCCTAGTGTTATTTAACAAAGCATTACCCTATGACTTTGATATTATACAATGAAAGCTCTTCTTTGTTGCTTTCGACTTGCTTTTTTGATTTTTACAATTTACAGATACAAAGATTCGAGACTTTCTTTATTTCCAATAAAAGCATCTCATATTTACCAATCATGGTCGTTTTTTCATTACAGATAAAAATGAACAAAAGAACCTAGACATACTTGTTACACGTTTTTGTTTGTTTCTCTTTTTCTTGTTATTGTTTATTTTTTTTTTCCTTTTTTGTGTGTTGTAGATATCAAGTAGTACAATCGAAATACTTTTATTCTTTTGCTTTTTTATTTTGCATGCTGCTAAAACAACATGAGAATTTAATTCATTTGCATCAGATCCGTTATCAACAATTGTATTGCGTGATAATGTCTCATATTAGTCACCAGTTTATGAAAAAAAAAACAGTTTTTCATGTATTGTTTTGACTATTTATGTTACTCTACTTGGAAATTATTTGGGATTTCAGTATTAATGGCATTGACATCTGTTTTGTTTGCAGAAAAAAAAGTTGTCGTACTTCATTTGAGTAGTATTAAAAATTCTTGGATGAGAAAGATAGAGTACACATGAATTTTATCATCACTTTTCTAAGAATGCCTGGGAGTAATGACTGTAAGTTTTTTAAGATACAATTATTATGCATTATATATCAGCTGCAATGAGCCGTGTGGCATTCCATCCGTTTTTGCCTTCACCTCCGGCAATGCATCCCATGTTATCTCTTCCACTCTCTCTATTCTGTTTCTGACCTTTACAGCAAAACGGGCGGAATAAAGATTAATTTGGTCTATATTTGTCTCAAAAAAGTTACTTCCATTACTTCCAAACGTTATCTAAAAAGTGCAAGGGATAATTTCATACATATAAATATTATGTTTTTGAAATTTACTTCCCTTCACCCCTCCTCCGCTTCCGCTACCATTTTTGTGAATGCTATTAGCAATGAATTCCTTCGTCTTTTTGTCTATTTCAAATAATTTTCGAATCAATTAATTTAATAACAAATAAATAACATAGTTTATGTTATTCAGTTTTTTCACCAAAGTGAAATGGAATAAAATCATATGAAAAAAGAAAAAACAATGAAGATTCATTTGAATGAAATTCTAATAATATAGCATAGTCTTGCTTAAATATAAAATCAAAACCAGCATTTACAACAATCATACTAAAGAAAAGAAATCACTTAACATGATAAACATTCTGTTTATTCTTTTATGTAATATACAAATTATTTTTTAATTGAAAAGAAATTTCTATATAGATCTAATAAATATGTTACACATACAACTAGTTCCGACAGCTATAGTTATTTTCCGTATCGCTTGACTTATGTCATAAAAAGAAATGACAAAAATTTTCTTCATTATCGTTGACAAATAGCTAACATTTTGTACTTTGTTCTCTATAGAAATCAGTAATCTTATTTGTTAACAATATGCATTCATGAGAGTACGTCAAATGCTTATTATTTTATACAAATTATAAAATATAGTATATTAAGAACTGATTTTGATAATAAACTTATAGTTATGTTTCCAGTTCATATCAACATTTTTCATAGAGAAACGTTCTTGATTGTATTTTTTTTGTCATAGTTTTGTTTTCAATAGTCAAAATATACAAAAAAAAGAGCTTTATTGAATCAAAATCATTGCGAATCAATTAGTACCAAAAGACTAATCAAACGAATTTGCAGAAGATTTTCCTTAGTATTTTCGATGATGATGATCAAATCCATTCTCAATTTCTTGCAATGATTACATGAATCACGGATCAATCTGACAACAAATAAGAACTTAAAGTTCACGAAAAACTTTTTGTTTTGAGATATAATATTTTTAACATCTTCATCCGAATAAAAGATTGAAAATTCCAGTTCTAGAATGTAAATGATAGAATTATCTGTAAGATATACAATTAGTGATTTAAAGAGATTTCTTCGAAAAAGGTCTCGATACAATTGAATATATTTATAAATGTAAGTTTGAAATTGAAAGTTTTCTAAAGAAGATTTTGAAAATTTGTCTCTAATTTTACAACAGAGACTATATTACTGGTTATGATTTGTATTAAGTATATATATGTATAAAATCTATATTCAATAATAATTATCTATTTGCAAGATACTGTTACCAATATTGAATATTATGAGTACAATTTATGTTCAATCTCCTTTAATTCGAAGTCTCAGATTGTACAAACAAAAGAAAAAGATTCTGAGGCTAGTGTGTGTGTTTTAGGGAATTAATGAAAAAAAAACATATTCAAGATGAAATCTGATCATTTGATACAGAAAATACCCATGTCAAACTGTATTGATTTATCTGAGTAAGAATTTGTTAACATTGATCCTTGTGGAAACAAGCTGTATACTGAGTAAGAAATGGCATAAAATTTGTCGCTTGACACTGTAATTTAGATCTATGCTACATAAGTTTTTTATTGCATAAATCGATAATTACTGGCATTCTATGTTGATTTATAAAAGATTCAATGAACTTTTTCGATTTTTTTCTCTTGACACGATTGATGTTTTATCAATTTGAACTTTTCTAGATCAAAATACGATAAATCTTGATATTATATTGAAAGAAATTCACATTAATTAATGTTTAAAAAACTAAATATGTTTGCTTTGAGAATTTATTTTGATGATTTGTTATTCAAGATGAGAATAGCATTCATATTGATAAGAAAAAAAAATCAAACTCATATGTGAATTTTAATTTCTTTAACAATAAATCTAAGTCCAGATTGATCGGTTACTAGTGAAAACATTCAAAATAAAAAAAAAAAACTTCCTGGTAATGATTGAGATGTTATGAAAATAAATTTAATCTCCTGTCGAAATGAACTTGTTAATATGTCATTTTCGAACCAAGTGTAAAAAGCTCATGTAAAAACAACATATCTGTAAACTCAAATAATATATCGTCACGTTTATTCACCGTCAGTTCTCGCATCTTCTAGTTCCTGAATATATATGACTAGTCATCACACAATCGTAATCCAGAAAAGTCTGGTTTATTTTGAAAAAATTTTTCATTTGCAAGGTTCGAATTCCTTGAATATTTTCGTATGATATCGTATCGATGCATGCTTAACTATCATTTTCTTTCTTTTTTTTTTAATTATACTATGTCAGTTATGTTATTATTCTTGACAAGATATATGTCTATGTTTGAACAAGTAAAAGCTTTTGACTAGTAACTTCAATTGTCCTGTTCCATAGAGAAATGAATTTGTCTTACCTCGATTGTAATATTACAATATAATTGAAGATTCAACTTGTGATTAACTGATTGATTTATGGCTTGATTACTAGTTTTATACGGTATACTAATATAATCTATTTAATTAATTCATTTATTTCACATTGAAAAAACAAACAATTTATTTTAATCCGTTCAAAATAATGCTGTTAATCCAGATGTTTTAATAACATTCATCTGATACATAGCGCCATCTTTTGAATTAAGCTCTAACTAAATCTTAAAATCTAAAGAATAAACCTATAGCTTCATTATAATTTACATAAATAATAAATTATTTATTTTTCAGCATTTTATTTGCTTTAATCTTGCAACAAACCAATAGCAATCAAGCTTTCTTTTTCTTCCTTATTTTTTTGTTTCAATAGGTTCTTTTTATTTATTTGTTATTCTGTCTTGACAGTTCCAAGAGTTTCGAATATATCTATATATATTATTTATAAATCTATCAAAATCCGTATGGCATTTTTTCTTAAGTATGAAAAATATCTTTATCGTGTCTTGTTCAATATGAAAATTCATATATTTAGTTCGGCTGCAAAACTAGCTATTGTTGGTGGTGCAACAGTACTTGTTATTAATCATGAAGTATTTGGTACTAATAAATATACTCAACAAGTAATCAATGAAATTCGTACATCATTACTAGATACAGCTGAAGCATTTTGATCAGATTCCAGCAAGACAAGAAGTAGAGCATGCTGTCATAAATAGTTGGAATTCAGGTACATACGTCGTAATTCTTGTACAATATATATTTTGATTAAACCTAGGCGTTCAAAATAGTTTTAAATGGCTTATTGATATTCCAATACATACTCGTCGATTATTTTCTTCAATCAAAAGCTAAAAAGAATAATAAAAAAAGAAAATATATCATCTAGTTAGTGTATTTCTTAAAGGTTTCTATTTTAATATATTGAACAAAAGAAAGTTTTATTGGATGCATCAATCAAAGACGCCTTGCATTTTGTTGATTAAAAGAAGAAATATTGTTATTGTATACGTTGGGGTCGTTTGTCGAACACACAACAGAACAACAACAACATATTGCTATTCTTTCTTTTTTTTTCTTTTCCTTGCTTTCTTACTCCGTCCTATCAAAGCAACTTCATGGCAACGTTCGAACGAGTTAAGATAAACAATATATATTGGTTATTCCTTTTTTTTATTTGTCTATTGACACAATTAAGTTTTGACCCCTTGCATTTTTTTTAGTAGGAAAAAAAGGAGAATGAACAAATAAGAAATATTGACCAAAAGAATGAAAAGAAAACCTAGACGGGTTAAACTTATCATTAAAAACTATTTTGTAGATTGCCGTTGAATGAGTTTCTTTTCTTAAAATCTAAAATGAGAGTAACAACAACAAATCGAACATCTAAACTTCAAACATCAACTAGAACTAAAACATCATCAACAACAATACTTAATGAACAAACAGGTCATCTACAAAATGGTACAACTATTGTTTCACCAACATTATCAAATAATGTAATTTAATGATGAAGAAAATTTTCTAATTTCGTTTATTTTCTTTCACAGGGTACACTACGTTTAATTGATTCAGGTGATTATTTATCAACAGCAGTATCACCACCACCACAACAACAACAACAGCCAGTAACAACATCAGCAATGCTTCAATTTTTACAACCGTCATCTAATGCAATACAAAATATGCTTATTCAACAAATACTAACAAGTCCTGAACAGGTATATAATTCATATGATGTAACAGGTCAACTTATAAATATATATCCTTCTCTGTTTCTCTCTTTTTTTTCAAACATCTATGGTCATTTGTGAAGCCTACAATGAGTGTCTTTTCGTGTTGAGGCTATGAACAATATGGTTTACTGTCTCGTTTTTTTTTCTTTTCTCTTTCTCACCATCTTTCTTTGACGTCTCATTCGTTATACGACAAACATCGCGCAGGATGTTGCTTACAGTGTTCGCTTATGAGGACGGCAAAAAAAAAACAATATATGAAGAATAAGAACGAGAAGGAAAGAAAATTAATAATAGAATAAAAAAAAACGAACGAAGGAGAAAGAAAGAAACACAAAAAAAAAACAACAACAACCAACCAAACTATCTCTGTGTCTGTGTTGTTTCACGCATGCTATAGCGTCTGTGACAACGATAATAAAACGAGTATTTGCCGGAGAAAAAAAATACACTATTAAATATAATAGAATATTTCCATTTTCCATGATCTAGCAACGTCTTCTTGTTGAAAAAATCAATCAACAGTTAAGTGAACAAATTCAACTGAACCTTGTTCAACCACCAACAACATCAAATTCAGACGTTATTAAACAAATTCAAGTAAATAGAAATAATTTTTTTAAAAATATTATTTATTATCATTTTTATTTTCAGAATCAAATAGCAAATCAACAACTTCTTCTTCAACAAGTTTCTTCTAAACAACAACAACAGCAGCAGCAACAACAACAAATTCCTAGTTTATTTAGTATTACAAATTCAAATAGTTCTAATCAACCAACAACAGCTACTGTTCAATATTTAACAACAACAACACCAAATAATTCGTCAACTAGTGGTAAGAACAGCTCGTCATTTCTCTTTGCCTCGAGATGAAAAAGCTCTTCTATCCATAAACAACATTTATTTATATATGTAAGTGTCTACGGAATCTCCATCATTGATTTCAATATCTACACGTCCTCATCATCAACCAACAACAATCAACATCACAGATCTGCTGACAGCAGGTCGAACCATTACCGGTTCGTCATTCTAAAAAAAAAAATATTATCATTATCTTTTTCCCCATGCCCGAATGATTTGTTCGTTTTTTTGCGTATATTAATCCGTAATTTTTCATTGCTTTATTTGCACGGTTGTTTGTTTAATAATTGAATATAAAAGAGAATTCAAATTTTTTTCTATACTTTTCTTTTTTTGTTTGTATTTTATAGGTTTGAATATAATCGGAACAAATAATAATATTCCAACTGAAGCTCGTATTATAATGCCAACAGCAACCACGACAACAATAAATCGTTCAACACCACAAGATTCATCAAATAATCCGCTATATCAACGAAATTATTGTCGTTGGCCAAGTTGTGATACATTATGCTCATCATTAATGGATTTTAATCGACATCTTAATGATGAACATTCACTTGATGATCGTTCTGTTGCACAGGCACGTGTACAACAACATGTTGTACAACAATTAGAAGCATTATTAACACGTGAACGTGAAATACTTCAAGCAATGATGAAACATTTACATGGTGGTAGTCAACAAATAAATTCAAATGGTGCATCATCATCAAATCCAACAACAACAGCACATGTTATTACACATCAACCTTCACGTACATTAGCATCATACCATAATAATCGTTCAACACAATTGTCATCACCAACATCATCATCAACAATACCAACAACAACATTTCAACATTTACCTATTGTTAAATTAGAAAATGCTTATTTAACAGCAGCAGGTCTTGTTAAAAAAACAACACAAGATCTTTCGTCAACAAATAATACAACAGCACAAACTATATTGCGTGCAAGTGCATCAAGTTCACCACCACCTGTTCATACCGTTGAAGAAGAAGTTGGTGATGATACACAAGATGATGATGATGATGATGATGATGATGATGATGAAGATATGGTTGATACTAATGGAAGTACATCAGCATTATCAAGATCTCATGGAAATAATCTATCGATTGTTTCAATGGGTTCAACTGGAAAACATCATCAAATGAGTAGAAAATCAAAAGGAATGTTGGCATTAGGCGGGAAAAAAGCTGGAAAAGGAAAAGGTTTGTTGAATAAAATTACTCTATCGAAGGATAGAAAGCTTTCTAATCGAGGTGAAATTCTCCAAGGATATATCTAGAAGAGTCATATTTGTTGCGTTCTTTCATTGAATTTGAAATACTTGATAGTTCCATAAAAGAAAATAAATATTGTAAAGATAATCATTAGACTCATTCTAAAAGTGTAAATGATTTAATATTAAAAAACTAACTATATTTATTTTTAGAATTAAAAAATCGAGAATATTATATGACACATGATGTACGTCCACCATTTACATATGCAACATTAATTCGTCAAGTATATAATTTACAAGAAAATATTTCTTGTTATTAAAATATTTATATACATATATATATATATATATATGTTCTAGGCTATTATTGAATCTCCAGATAATCAATTAACATTAAATGAAGTTTATAAATGGTTTGAAGCACAATTTCTTTATTTTCGTAAAAATGCACAAACATGGAAGGTAAATATTTAATTCTTTTGTTTCTTTTTCTTTGTTGAATTTCTATTTTCAATAGAATGCTGTACGACATAATCTGTCATTACATAAATGCTTTATGCGTGTTGAGAATATAAAAGGTGCAGTATGGACTGTAGATGAAAATGAATTTTGTAAAAGACGTTTAACACGAGGAGCAGAAAAAGGAAATAATCACAATGAATCGTCATCTTCTTATGGGTAAATATATTTTCACATATATAAAACTTAAAATTTATTTTATTTTATAAATTTTAGTCACAATGCATCTACTGGTGACGATCAAGCACTTTATTCTTACCCATTTGGTATGGAAGATGATTATAAAGATTTTAAAGTAAGAATAGAAATATAAAAAGAATTTTTTTTTGATATTTTTTAAATTATTTGTTTCCTTTTGTTTTATTTCAGGGTCTTTTAAATTCTCATAATGTTGAAGATGAAGATGATGATAATTCTACTAGTGTTAATGGAAATCATGGTCAACATAATGAACAATCAAGAGATATTAATCATAATCAATATGAACAAACTGATGACGATGATGGACAAAATGATATGAGGTAAATTTTAAAAAATAATTAAGTATTTATTTTAACAAAAAAAATTTTAGTTTAACACATGGAGACGATGAACAGGTTGATGAATAAACAAAAGAAAAAGATTTATTTCCAACGGACATGATGTCAGATAATATTCTCTTTATTCAACGCACGCACATATATAACAGTAGATTTCTCTCTCTCCACTCGTTATTCTTTTCTTTGCGTTACTCTATATACAATGTATATAGTTCTTTTTTTCTCTTGTGGTTAATTAAACGTTGACTTATTCAAATTCTTCTATTGGGCATATTGCTCTTCTCTATCGGTTTTGGTTTTTTTCTGTGCCTGTTAACGCTGCACAATGCTTTTTTGTTGTCTGTAGTGTATGAATGTATTTATGGTTTTTCTTTCGTTTTTTTTCTTCTGTCGTGTTTGATCACATTGTTTGTATATAAATTTCTTTTTCCTTCCGTCTTCTTCATCAGTTTTATTATTGTTGTGTTGTGTTTGATTTTTTTTCTTTTGTCTATGATGTATAAAAAAAAAAGAAAAGAAACAAGATGGATAAAGAAAAAAGAAACGACAATGAAAAAAAAAGAAAGTAAGAATTTATTTGGAACATATTGTTTTATTTATTGATACTTTAGAAATGATGCAAAATTATGAATGGAATAAAGAATATAAAATACGAAAGTAGTTGAGATGGAAATAATGTGCACATATAAATAATCAATACTTAAGTATGTTTATTTGATTGACAAAACTCAGATTGAAGGACGAAAAAAAAAAACTCGTAGACTAAGGCTTGAATGAGAATATTTCAAAAGAATCTACTACAGTTCTTACTATTTATGAAATCGCATGAAGGTATTTACGAATAAAAGAATAAACTCAACACTATTTAGATGTCTATTTTCATTAAATCTAATTTACAACAGTCTTAAAGTATAATCTTTCAAAAGCTTTTACGTCATTGAAATTCTTATTTATTAGTATTATTATATGAAAAGCCTGTTTATATGATATATGTTTATTACATTTGATACAACAAGAATAAAAGAACAAATAGTCCGAATGTCAACATATTAAATTCATATTTATATGCAGTATTTGGTGTCGTCGTCTTTGAAGTTGTAGACGATGACTGATACATCGTAGTAGTTGAAGTTGTAGAAGATGACTGATACATCGTAGTAGTTGAAGTTGTAGAGGACGACCAATATGAGGTATTAGTATAGGAATATATCTCGGATGTACTTATGATGGTAGATTTCATTGTAGTTACATCGAGCAGAATGTTTGGTTCCAAATGTTCGCCATCACGATTCAGAATTTCTTCCATCCAATGATAATAATAAGACAGTCGAGTATATATACCTGGGGAACTAGCTAATCCACATCTTTTTCCATGTGATACAATACCCACTTGTTCCCAATACTGTCCAGTCCATTGGAATATTGGTCCACCTGAATCACCTATGGAAAATAATTACTTTACTTTGGTACTTGAACAAAATACGTTTTCAAACATACCTTGACAAGAATCTAAAATAAGCAAAAATGGACAAAAAGAATTTTAGAAAAAAGTCTGATAAAAACACTAACCTTTTCCACCTTCATATAATCCAGCACAAAATTGTAATTCAGTATTATTAATAGAACTTAAACATACCGGGTCTTCATTATCCATTGCAAAGACTTGTGCTTGTTGAAGAATCTCCGGAATATACGTGGTTCCAAAACGAAGTATACCCCATCCAATCACAGCAAGACGAGTACCATTCTTCGGATATTGAGTTTTTGATATTAGTCGGTCAATACGATGAATACATGTTTTCGTCAAACGTGAATTTGTTTCAAATACAAATGGTTGATCAATGTGTAATAAAGCAATATCATGACGATAATCATTTGGCATACTTGTATAATTGGGATGCATATAAATTTGATCAACATTACGTATAATTTGTAATAGATCTGATCGATTTGTCATACCTGCTGCTATAGTAATACCTATACGATTTTCTATAGGTATTCGACGAAAACAATGAGCAGCAGTAAGAACATATGAATTAGATAATATTGTTCCACCACATGAATGATCGTTAGTGCCGTTTAAACGAACAGACACAATCATTGGCCAACTATCTTTCATAGCATCTTCACCGCCAACAATACGAGAAGATGTTAGAAACACATCAGTCTTTCCGCAACCACATGATGATGTTCTGTTACAAGCATATGAAATTGGTGTTGGAGGAGGTTTTGGCGTAGTTGTAGTTAGTGAGATATTTGTTACAGATTCCATCCAATTAAAATAATAAGCTAATCGTGTAAAAATAGCTGGAGAACCGATTTGATGACATCCTTCTCCATAACTTGTAATACCTACCTATAATATACATTTGAAAACAACATAATCGAAACATTAAAGATGCTACCTGTTCCCAATAAGTACCCTTCCATTGAAAAATTGGACCACCCGAATCACCTAAAAAATTCATTTTTGTATCAAATCTATACTTTTGACATTTATACATACCTTGACATGGATCTAGAAGAAATTATAAAAGAAAAACATATATTTCTAAAAAATAGCAATAAAGATGTTTGTTCCTTACCTTTTCCATACATTCCAGCACAAAATTGTTTTTCTACATCATGAATCAATTGTCGACAGATGTGATCATCATTATCAATCATATATACACTAGCTTGTTGAAGTGTATTAGACATATTATTGTAACCATATTGAGTTGAACCCCAGCCAACAATGACTAAATGACTACCATTTGATGGATAGTTTACTGTTTCATTTATTGAATTAATATATGGGACACATGTTCGAGCTAGACCTAAAGTACCAGGAATGAATAATGGAGGAAAAATACGTAATATAGCAATATCATTGCGATAAGTACTATCACTTCTATTCCAATTAGGATGTATATAAATACCATGTGCATAACGAATCATTGTAAAGTCTTCGATTTGATTATGAATACCAGTAGCAATAGATACTTCCAACTCTGATGCACCATCAACACAATGTGCTGATGTTAAAATATAGGATTCAGTAAGAATTGATCCAGCGCATGAATGATCTTCGGATTTGTTTAAACGAATAGATACAACCATCGACCAACTATATGGAACTGCTTCTTCACCACCAATAATTTTTGTAGGTGATAATTCAACATTTTCTTTCCCACAACCACATGATACCATAAGTGCATTACATTTATAAGTTATGGTACGATTTGTGACTGAATCGGTATTTTTTGCAATTGTTAAAGGTGTAAAACTTTTCAACTTTAGAACAGAGTCTATCCATTCATGATAGTATGCTAATCTAGTATAAATGCTCAGACAACTTCCATTTGTTCCTTCTGCAACATAACTTATTATGCCAACCTAAGAAAAGCAAATCATGTTATTCAAAAAACGTTTTTTTGGTCTTCAATCTCTTATTAGATCGACAATCATTAGAATAAATATAAACTTTTCTAGAAAATGTACAAATGAAATAAGTGAAGTAAAATGTTTAGAATATTTTAGTGAATAGGATTCATCATTGAGAAATTTCTACTTGGTAAAAGATACATTTACTTTAGAGTATCTTTTAAAATGATTAGTTTTACCTGCATCCAACGATTATCAATCCATTGTAAAATGGGTTCTCCAGATTTATCCACTAAATGAAAATCAATTATTCAGAGATACTATCAATTTTATCTTAGGCATGGTACGTACGGTTACATGAATCTATAGAAAACAAAAAAAAATGGTATAATGTTAACGAAATTTATTCAAAATAAACCTTTACTATCATGATATAATCTAGTGCAAAATTGTTGTTCGACATCATAAACCAATCCATTGCATATTGAATCATTGTTATCCACTAAAGATACTTCATATTTTTGTAGACTAACAGATGCTGTTGAATCAAAATGTTTTTTAGAAGGATCCAATTCAATAGCCAATAATCGTGTGCTATTTGATGGATATTGTAGAACATCTTTTAGTAAACTGAAGCCGGTTGGTCGACATATTCGAGCAATACATTTATCTACGGTAAAATCTAAGGGAATTGATAAATGTAAAAGAGCAACATTATGCTTTCGACGATTTCGATAATTTTTCCAGTTCGGATGAATAATAATGTGATCAACTTTTCGAATTATTTGACCTAATTCAGATTGATTATGAATAGCAGCAGCAATAGTCACATTAGCTAATGACATATGTCCGGACAAGCTATCAACACAATCAGCTGCTGTGAGAATATATGATTCAGTAACAATTGTTCCACTACAACAATGTGTAAATGGATAATTCTTGTGTTGACAATCATATCTGAGTGATACTATTATGGACCAACTATATTGCAATGGATCTTCGTCATTAATTTTGCCACATTCATAGGGTGTTATGTTACACAAAATAATAAGAAATAATACTAATAATGATAGATTTAATTGTGATAATAAATACATATTAGATTTTGAAAAAGCTAGTTAACCTTCAAAATTCGATTGAAAAAACGTATAAATATATATTGGAAAGGAGAGAAAATAAACTTTATCAACAGAATCTCATGTTTTGTTTTATTTCATTTTCTTTATCTCTGTTTTCTATAACAAAAGTGTTTTCTTTTCTTACGAAAGCCAGAGTTTACAGGATTAAAAGCACTTGTTATTCATCATTTGATTCTTTAGTAATACATCAACATTAAAAAATCATCTTATCAGGAACGACTGATAGGGTAATATCTGTGTTTTTTCTTTATGACCGAATGTGATATTCGAGATTGACATGGTAAATAGAATGAAGTTGAAGATTTCTTTAAGCAGCTTTACGTTGGTATCGGACAAAAATATTGGAAAGTTTTTGTATTTGAATTTAAATGGAAAATCTAAGTAGTTCAAGTGAAAGATTCTGTTTGAATGTTACTAGCTTAAACATTTACTAATGCATATATTGAAATAGAGATGTTTATAATCAAAAATTGTGATATAGTTCTTAAAGATATATTCTATTGTTCGTCGATTAAAAAAAAGAAAATGATCCATGATTTCATGTGAAAGTAGATGAATAACAATAATAATAATAATAATAATAATAATAATAATGAGAATTTTTTATAAATATATGATGATTAGAAAAGAATGTATTTCAACAATGGAATTATTTCCTCAATAATACTTAATACCGTTATTATTGCTGGATGTAGACTAAATGGGTAATTAGGGAAGAATTCATAACACTTTTCATCCATTTTTGTATATGATGATAATCTCGTGTATAGTTTTACATGACCCGTAGAACCATATCTGTATCTATATGGTACAATTTTCACTTATATCAATTGATTTAAGATTAGATTACGCAGCGTTCTGATTAACTTATTTTTTTCCAAAGATTATTTTTATAAATGAGTACTGGTCCATTACGATCACCTATGTAAAAACTAAATATATTGACGTCTCTGCTAACTCTTCTTACCGTTACATCAATAATATATTTGTATATCATCATTATATTGTTTGACAATCTAGCATAGAATTGACAAATACCATTAGTAGTGAAACTTGAACACAAGTCATGCTCACTACTGACTAATCTAATAGATATTTGTCGAAGAATGTCTGACATATTATTTCCTGGTCTTAGAATGCGTCATTTGGTTACTATTAATTGTGAATTTGGTTCTGGATACCGATTGGATGGCAATTTTATCAATTTTCCGACTAGTCTTAACGACTTCAGAAAGCCTATGAATATGAGCAACAATAATCATATTATGATAACATTAAAAAGCAGAAATGCATTGAGAAGCAGTTAAAATGAATGAATTAAATGGAATAGTTCCACCATCTACATGCCAATTATTAAATAATTGAAGTGAAATCTTCATTAGTCAACTGTGTTCGATAGTCATATCGATAGATATTAGATGATTTTATTATACTGAAATTTATTATAAACTCTTTCCAAATATTTAGCGTAGATAACTATTCTTGTAAAAACATCGAGATCAACAGACATTATACGATATGATGCAAGATCAACTTGTATCCAGCGATTATCATCTCATTGACGGAATCAAACTCTCAACATAACATGCATGTAAAAAAAATAAAACTATTATGAAAAATATTTATGCGCAAAGACTTTACGTACTTTCACAATATATTTCTAGCAGAAAGAGAAATAAAAAGAGATGGTTAGCGAAACTTTTAACATTTACAGATTGCCTTTGTCACTTCTATAATGACCAGCACAAAATTAAATTTAACGTTGATTTTAAGATTTAGAACGAATTACATCTTTACTAACGGGTGTCCCAGAATAAATTATACCATTCGTATTTTGAGTATAACTCTTCTATTATCCATTAGATCGGGACATCTTTTTATACTAAAAGATAGCGCTTGAAATTCTCTGCAAAATTATATATGACTAGTCCCAAAAACTGTCTTAGATATATTTGAAAAAAGATGAAAAGTAACGACATATAAAAAGCTGTAAAAAATAACGGGTTGGACNGATAGTTACCCTGCTCAGATGGTTACCAAGTCGGATAGTTACCAACTCAGTTGGTAATTAATGAGTTTATTAATAAACTTATTAAATTGGAAAAAACTCTTAATATAGAATGATTCATATTTGACTTGGTAATTTTCGGTCAAAAAAATTAGTCAGCGATATTGGAATCGGCGAAAATGGACTTCGGCGAAAGTGGAATCGGCGAAAGTGGAATCGGCGAAAGTGGACGTCGGCGAAAAAAAATTTCGGCGGAAATGGAAGTTACCATTATATGTGCATTTGAAAGTTACTAGTATTAATATGATAGAATCATTGCTAGGATATACAATGATTATCGTTTTAATAGATAATACTCTCACTAACTATAAACATCTAACTGCATATTCTGTATATCCATCTTACTCCACTTTTTTAGATGAGTTGCTGATAATGAATACTTTAGTGTAGATCTTGTGAGTGAATACTTCATTTTTGTCAATGGAAGTATCAGTATATGAAGAGCAATCATTAATCCATATCATTCATAAAACAGTGAGTAGATAATGCAAATAACAATCTAACTGATCATTTTACTCTGGTTTACCAGCACATACTACATTTATATCCTCAACTAACATATAAAAAAAACTATACGTATGCCCCTAAGTAAAGATGAATTCATCTTTAAACTTTGACATAATATGTAACACTCTACAAAATCATATATGATTGAATTCAAAAGTTGTTTTAAATATGTTTGAAATAAGATGAAAAATAAAGACATTCAAGCAGTTGTAAAAAAAATGAATGTGAAAGTAGTGATGGACTGGCAAAAATTTAACTTGATTTGGTCAGAGTGGTTTCATTATCAACAAATAAAATATGGATGAAAATGATCAATAGCACTGTCTCTATCATATTACCATCTTCTCTGGACTGTCGACGCAGTTTCTACAAAAGTGAATGTCTGAAAGATGAAATGACTTTTACTGTTACATAAATAGATGTCAACAAAAGTGCCTATTGAAACAAAATGCATACCACTGCTATCACATTAAGATCTTGGCAATTTCGCATAACAGGAGATCAAAGATTCAATCGTGACTGATCTACACAAAAAGAGTGGGTTACTTTTACAAACGAGGTGTTAACGGAATATTTTTAAACGTTTATACACGCTTCCTTAGTAGAAAATGGTGTATAACTTATTTTCGTACATACGTACCGAGGACTCATTAGTCATTTAGTTTGTCTGATTTCAATCAGTTAGATTCTATTTTGTGGAATAAACAGACTCAAACAATGAACTGAAGCCTCATAACAACAAAATCAACATTGATAGACGAAATAAAAAGTTCTATCAAAGAAATTGAAAGAGAAAAAAAATTATGTTCTGTATTTGATTTTACTGCACACTTATGTTTGATCCAAAAAAATGGAGAAAACTATATTCTTTCAATAAAACACATCGTTTTATGCTGAATTTCAATTGCTATCTTTTTATTAAAAATAGCATTTCAATCAAATGAATAATACGAGAGAAATATTAAATATACTAACAATATAATTTATTCTATGCCACTAGTTATTATCGTAGTTAAGAGCTCGAAAATTGAATTTAGTGATATATACATATCTCTACTCAGAGATGTCAAAAATTAGATCATTCTAGGATATTGAATAAGTCAGTAAGATTTACCGATCGAACAATTATTCAAGACAAACGTGATTGAACAGTTGGGAAAACTTCCACCGTAACTACACTCGATACATTTCGATTCGTAACAATAGTTTCAAATTGACTGAGCCCTTTTTTTATCGAACCTCCAAAAAAGCGTACATTTAACATAGCGTAATGAGCCAATATTTATTCTTCTTCATTAGACTGATTTTTAGAATAAGAAAATGTAATTGTTGGTCAACCATAGCTCTGATTCAATGCATACTCATTGAAATAAGAATATTTAATTAAAACCAGTTTTTATGAATTTAAGTATGAAAATGAAATAAATAAATGTATCATCAGTTAACCCTTTGGCGCTGGGCGTGGTATATATACCATATCAATCAAAAGTAAGTGGAAGTAGTCTGCATATTTGATTGTGCATAATTAATTGTTTCAAACCTTACCACATCCTAAAATACTTTTGATAATGATTTTTAATTAAATAAACATCTATTGTCACTTATATAAAAAACTTCATTTTTTAAAAAAGCCCCGACACCAAAGGGTTAACTAAACACTTCAAGATTTGAATGACGTCATTAATGATCATCATCAAGAAAATATCATTTTGTTTAATCCTTAAAAAAATTCTTCCTCTTTCATTAAACTCATTCTAAATGGATGCTAACTATATATTTTAGACATTACTCACACAATACTCCAGCAATTCCAAACCATATGAAATATTTCGACATAGTGTCAGAAATCATCTTATTCGACAGAACCTGCTATTAAAATCATAATTAAATAAATCAGAAATCTTTAGATTCTATGATAGATTCCTATTAAAAAGTCCTGAATATCAGTATTTTGTTTATAATATGTTATACCATCGCATATATGAACATATATGTAAAATAAGTTATGTTGTTACCTCATATTGCATAGTATAAAACGCCTTAATTCTAGTCAAATTTTCAGTTTTTAGTCCACTTGAAAATTCTGGAAAGAAGCTTCTACAAAATAATGAGAAGAATTCATAATACAACAGTATCACTAGACTAGTGCCAACTACTGTCAACTTGTTTCATTGGATATTTTGTGTTCCATTAAAAGGTCATTCTCCTCTTTCTTTTTTTCTTTTTCCTTTGAAAAAATGAGTCACTTGTATCTGTCTAAATTGGTATCCAACAATCAACCAGCCAGCATGAAACATATACATTCCATTGTTTACTATTTATGATAGAAGGACAAAATGCAAACAATTTTTATGTAAATTTTTCTATTGTTCTTATTTTAGAA